AAAGAAGTTTGCGGTTCCCAGCTCAAGTCTGTATTTTACCTGATATAAGTCCTTCAGACTTTGTTCACACAGCACCATTAGTACGCCGGTGTTATTTTTATTCTTATTTTTTTGCCATACATACTCTACCTTATGGCCCCTCAACCTGCAGATGGCAAATGACACAGATTTACGACGAATAATTCAGAGAGAGAGAGAGAGAGAGAGAGAGAGAGACAGATACAGAGACAGAGTCATAGACTGAGAAAGACGACATGGTTAGATACAAATAAAAATAATGAAGTTAGAACATATCATAGATAGTACAGACAGACACACTTACTCAGGCATTTACAGATAAATAAAGAGAGATAGAGAGGAGACAGAATTAAAGAATAAAAAATATAAATGAAGCTGGGATAAGTGATACATACATACGCACACACACACACACACACACACACACGCACGTGCAGAAACACACACACACTCACACACACGCTTACATACAAATACATACAGACTCACTCTCCCTCTCTTTCTCTCCATCCATCTACACTCATAGACACACACTCAGAGATAGGCAAATAGATAGATAAATAGATGGATAGATGGATAGATAGATAGATAGTAGATAGATAGATAGATAGATAGATAGATAGATAGATAGATAGATAGATAGATAGATAGATAGATAGATAAAATAATAAGATCGAATTAAAAAGTATTCATGTACAGTACAGTAAGATTAAAAACATTTGATCACACTTATAGCAGGCAAATACTACTACTATGTGTTTCAGCCCCAGTGTCACGTCATTAATATTCCCAGTGCTTCCTCTTCCGACTAACAGTCTTTTTCCTTTTAATTGCTTTTTTTCGTTCATTCTCCCCTCCTCTCTCTCTCTCTCTCTCTCTCTCTCTCTCTCTCTCTCTCTGTCTGTCTGTCTGTCTGTCTGTCTGTCTGTCTGCCTCCCCCCCCCTCTCTCTCTCTTTCACGTTCTTAACCGCACTTCGTCAATGTCTCTCTGCTTGTCGAAATCTCTCTTCCTCTTTTCCCGACTCAATCGCTGGTTTTGTTGGTCTGTATTATTTCATCACTATCTTAGCTAACATGTACCCCCCTCCCCCTTGGTAAACTAATTATCATCCCTCCCGCTTCTCTTACAGGGTAATCGTGCCTTCTCTCCCTGTTACACCTCTCTTCCCCGCGGGGACACTTGGGTCTTCACTCTCGCAACCGAATTCTAGTCTCACCTCCTCCACCTAACAATCTTCTCTCTCTCTCTCTCTCTCTCTCTCTCTCTCTCTCTCTCTCTCTCTCTCTCTCCAATCCCCTAGAGGCGTGGACTGATGTGTCTCCCTCCTCACTCTACCATCTCTCCGCTCGAAGCGCTAGTCTTCTACATTTTTACATCCCATCAAGGCGCTCGTTTCTCCCCTTCCCCTCCAACTTATTCTTCTTCTTTCACCCCCTCCCCAAACCTACTTTCCCTTGGGGCACCCATGTCTTCTCCTTGAGCCGTTGGCGTCTAAAAAAATCATCAGTCTCATGCTGTGCTGATGCTAAACAGAAATTAGGACGCAATCGATCTTTAATAAAAAAACCCGCGTTTGCCCCGCAATTTAGGGAGGACTGTCCCTCCCCGCTATCAATCTGACTGTTTCAGCTTCGTTAGGTTGGTTCGTATTCGATTTGTCGTGGTGTTCCCTGTGCCACGGGGCTGTCTCAGGAGGCTGATGGCGTATTGTAACTGCGGTGCTGTCTTTCATTTCCGCTATTTGACTTGTTTAACGTGCAGGAAAAAAAACTCTACTGCTGCTTCGCTCTTGGCCTCCTGGCGTTTCTCTTCTGGTTCACTCTTCCTTTCGGTCAGTTACTGGGCTTGATGCTCGAAATCATATTTTGTTTTGATTTTAGTCAGAGGAACAACTTTTCGGTGAGGAAAAATAGGTGGGCCTGAATCTGTGAGCCCCACGTCTTCGGACGCCACTGAGTTGGGACAATTCATAGTCTTGCTGTTTTTAAAATCCTTTCCAGTTTCTTTTTGATTGGAAATACCATACTTTTTTTTTCCAAATTGATACAGACCCCTCTTCAGTTGTCACGATGTATGTGAAAGAATACGAACCTTTCATTTCTATTTACCCTTTTCGATCAGGACATTTAAGTAAGTAAACTAAATCTATACCTCTTTCTTTCCTCTAGTTTTTAGTTTAGTAGAGGTTTTACGGCGCTCACAACTGCATATGGTCATATGAGCGCCAGAAGATTAGAGGTGTTACAAGAGAGTAACAAACATAAAAAAGAAGTGGAGATAAGGACGATAGACGATTGATAGGAAAGAAAAAGCAAACAACACCAGAGCACCCACCAACCACCCACTTTCTTTCCTCTGACATCAAAATACTTTTGTTTGCTGCAACAGGAATGCCCGATGGATTTGTAAGGTTTTAAATCTCCTTAAAGGATCATCACTGACGATGCCATTTTCCCTTTTTTATTTTGTGTCCATGATTCTGGCTGTGCTGAGTTGTTTCAACAGAATAATTCAACGGTGTACTTGTACCTTTGCTGCTGCAGCGAGTACTGCGTCACTGTCTAGTTCCACGCTCACGTTCGATCTCCTGTTGGTTGAGTGACCTCACTGGGACAAACATCAGCCGCTATAGTCGCTGATTCATCAGGCATAATGCCACAAAATGACATAAGAACGATTATTTTGTTGAACGTTTTCGTTATTAATTATGTCAATAGGCATCCTAATCTTGTCGGTGATTTCTACTGATACAACACCGTCATCAGTTGTAAACGCTTTATCTTTCAAATGCTGAGGTACGAAAGAGAATCACCAACGCAGTGGGGCAATATGAAGATCTACTGACCACAGTGAAGAGACGAAA